CTGAGAACCAAAATTGTGGCAAAATATCAACAATCTCAAGGTTACAAGTCCATCTCCAGAGAACTAGATTTGCCTTTGTCCACAGTGCGCAACATTATCAAGAAGTTTGCAACCCATGGCACTGTAGCTAATCTCCCTGGTCGTGGACGGATGAGGAAAATTGATGAAAGATTGCAACGCAGAATAGTCCGGATGGTGGATAAGCAGCCCCAAACATGTTCCAAAGACATTCAAGCTGTCCTGCAGGCTCAGGGAGCATCAGTGTCAGCGCGAACTATCCGTCGACATTTAAATGAAATGAAACGCTATGGCAGGAGACCCAGGAGGACCCCACTGCTGACACAGAGACATAAAAAAGCAAGACTACAGTTTGCCAAAATGTACTTGAGTAAGCCAAAAGCCTTCTGGGAAAACGTCTTGTGGACAGATGAGACCAAGATAGAGCTTTTCGGTAAAGCACATCATTCTACTGTTTACCGAAAACGGAATGAGGCCTACAAAGAACAAAACACAGTACCTACGGTAAAATATGGTGGAGGTTCAATGATGTTTTGGGGTTGTTTTGCTGCCTCTGGCACTGGGTGCCTTGACTGTGTGCAAGGCATCATGAAATCTGAGGATTACCAAAGGATTTTGGGTCGCACTAGGGCCCAGTGTCAGAAAGCTGGGTTTGCGTCCAAGATCCTGGGTCTTCCAGCAGGACAATGACCCCAAACATACGTCAAAAAGCACTCAGAAATGGATGGCAAAGAAGCGCTGGAGAGTTCTGAAGTGGCCAGCAATGAGCCCAGATCTAAATCCCATTGAACACCTGTGGAGAGATCTTAAAATTGCTGTTGGGAAAAGGTGTCCTTCCAATAAGAGAGACCTGGAGCTGTTTGCAAAGGAAGAGTGGTCCAAAATTCCGGGTGAGAGGTGTCAGAAGCTTATTGATGGTTATAGGAAGCGACTGATTTCAGTTATGTTTTCCAAAGGGTGTGCAACCAAATATTAAGTTAAGGGTGCCAATACTTTTGTCCAGCCCATTTTTGGGGTTTTGTGTGACATTATGTCATATTTGCTTTTCTGCCTCTGTTTTATATTTGTTCCAATACATACAAAGGGAATAAACATGTGTATAGCAAAACATGTGTTAATGCAATACCTTTTTTGTGTGAAATACTTGATTTTCAGGAAAAATATCAAGGGTGCCAACAATTTCGGCCATGACTGTAGGTGGTCATTTGTCAATAGATCACTAGTAATTTTCATATGTTCACGTCATTCTTTCAGCCTATAAAATTGCAAAGCTGTATGATGAAGTAAAACTGTAATCAAAAAGGATGCGGCACTCAGGATATAAAGCAGAATGCATACAGTTCACAATGAGCTATGTTTAGTGCTGTCTACAGGCAATGTTTAGTGCTTGTTTCATACTGAAATCATCAATAATGTTCACAGTTCAGTTAGCTGCCTCCAGCACAGGTGCTGCTGTATTCTCTTTGAAATGTTTATGATGAATAAACTGCAATCCACCTTATCCATATAACAAGGTCAATAGTTGCTGTGGGCACCAGGTAGGTTCTGTGGAGCTGCTGGTTACATCCACTCATACAGTATATACTATAATGATGTAAGTACATTGCAAATGGATAGAAAAGGTACAACAAATCCTATACAGTTAAAATGAAAACGTTAATTAAAAAGTTAAAAAGTAAAATATTAATAAAAGTTAAAAACAGAGCAATGCCCTGATAAAAGCTTTTACTCAACTCTATGCAATCCCATGTCTTCACCTTGTACTGTCCTGGCTACATTCTCTTTCAGTCTATTCCATTATGTTTTGTCATACAATGTGGATGATGCAACACAAGTATTCAAGTTTAGATAAATTATCATACTCTATGCATGGATTGTATATAACATAAAACATTTGAACAGTAGATAATAGTGTAGGTATTTATTTTTGCGAATTGAGTAAAGTATTGGCTATCATCATATAACCAAAGCAAGGAGCTGTTAATGAGGACATTCTAGAGACTATTGACTATTTGCAATGTAGAAAATATTAGAACTGGTTTCTATGCAGAACGTTTTATTACTTACCTGGAAAACAGCAACACACCAAAACATTTACCTCTTAACATACAGTAAAATAAAAATGATTTTCTCTTGTAATTAGTAATAATGAATAAGGGTGGGTAGCATAGGAATATAAGGGATGGATGAATCTTGTTAGATCAATGGGAACTAAAACTGAAATTCTGTTGGGCAAACCATTAGCTCAAAAAACAGTTCACTTACCTCTACATGTAGACATTCATGAATTTGGAGTGGGGGGGGGAGATACATTAAATAAAGCTACTCTTCTTATCTCTTAATTGTGACCACCATACTGAGTGTTCTGGATACTTCTTTTATAGTATTATTTAATAATCAATGAATTGACTAGATATAGCAATGTCTCCACCCAAGAAACAGCCTTCCTTGATGCATTTACCACTCCTGGCTTGCTCACAAAGATAGGGAAACTTTGCACAGTGGTATTTGTTCATACTCCTCCCAGACAGCAATGAATATCATACTGGCTGAGGCCATCCAGAAGCTCCTACTTGTTTTTTTCTTAAATATGAGTGTATTGTATAGTTTTAATAAAGTATTTTTTAGTAGTGAGCACTATGGTTTGCTTCTCTTTCTTTTCAGCTTAAACTTGAGAGATGGTCAATTTCACCAAGTAATGTGATTGTGAAGTTGAGTTTTGTGGTTCCTCAGATTGATTGAGTATACAACTGGAGCAGATTGGAGATGTTTTTTTTGGGTCCTGGTGCCTGCCAATGTGCTAAATTGACCTTTGTGGTGACGATCAATTTCTGGAGGTGAGCATTCACCCTTTAGGGAAAGTTGGAGGATTTTGTCTTGGACCATACTTTCATTGAAGAAGCATGATTTTGCACTACTGGGATTTATGTTTTTTTTTGGAACTAGTTATACTACTGGACTTTGTTTAAATATTTTTTCAACAATTTACTGTATTTGTGTGCAATATATGAGCTGTTTTGGGTAACAAATTAGTTTTTTTGGGATAAATTCTTGTTGTCACCTTTATACATATTTGCACATTTTTATGGAGAATTTTATTGTATGCTATTTTGACTTTTGTATGGATCTTTATGTAGTTTTCAGTGAACATTTATACACATGCGCCACATACTAAGTATGGCAGCACTGAAGTCATACCTAATGACTGAGCCTCTCTTGTGGAACTAGTATGCAACAGCCTGTTTTTTGTTGAGGCCCTGTATTGCAGGTGTATTGCTTTATGACAGTCTTTTTAATATTCAAGTTGTTTCCCCTGCATTAATATCGCAGTTCAGCAATCCTGAAAAATTTAAGCATATTCTCATTATTATTTGTTATGTTGAATTATCTTTTGTACCATATGTTATTATGCTTCAAAATAAGAAATAGAAAGGTCCTCTGCAATTTATAAGATAATTAGCAATTTAATGCTTGGTTTCAGTCTGTGTTTTGTTTCCTGAGAACTTCTTGATTGCTGAAATATTTACCTAATTAGAGCAATACTACTGTCTGCATTTGGAATAGTTAGAACAGCTTGCTGTCCAAGTGTTACTTCCACAAACCAACAGGAACTGAGCATGTTACTAGAGCACAAATGACATATCAAATGAATGTTGACATTTGTTCTCAACATGCAGCTACTTTGTGGTCTGAAATAAACTGCATTCTGTTGCTCTGTGGAAAGGGGCAATGGGCAACAATCATTAAGAAAATGTGAAAGACTAATAAGAACAAATGTAGACTAAAGGAGGTGTGAAGAGAATGAAGTGTTTGTTTGAAAAAACTAAAGTTCAGTTAAATTCTTGCTTTAACAAAGGAGATACTTTATTAAATACATTCAGCTGTGTGTTATTACATGTATTATTCAGGAAAATAATGAATGTCTAATATAGTTCCTAGTTCCTCAGTCTCTATGGAAGAAAAGCTATATTAAGCATAAAATGGGCAAATCTAGAATTAATTCATGTTCTACATTTTAATCCATAAGAATGCTAGTCACTCAACCCACTTAAATAATCCATACCCAGTGTGATTAAATGACCAGTTAGGCTCTTTTAGACCTAATTTTCTGATAATCAGCTAGTATAGAGGATTCAGAAGATTATCTCACCTGATCAATACCCATTCGGATATTAAGCAGCTGGGGTGGAAGATAGGAGTGCAAGATGACTGCAACTGCTTGCGTGTTATCACTTGTTATCTTTATACTATTTTAAGACATTCATCTTATCTTAAAATGTTCCTTTTATTAGTATACTTGTATAGGTCCTTCAGTGAGTTAGAGTACACAGTACCAGGCTTCGAACCTGCTCTGTTCTCTGACAGGGACATGTTGTAGTTAGAAAATAAATGATGCCTTTTAGTGTGTGATCATATACAACTGATTCTAAAACTAAGGATGGACCATTATTACTGTTTATGCAGGGTAGATTAACCACTTGCCTACAAGGCACTTATACTCCCTTCCTGCCCATGCCAATCTTCAGCTTTCAGTGCTGTCGCATTTTGAATGACAATTGCGTGGTCATGCAACACAGTACTCATATGAAATTTTTAGCATTTTTTGAGACAGATAGAGCTTTCTTTTGGTGGTATTTAATCACCTCTGGGATTTTTATATTTTGCTTAACAAATCAAAAGCAACTGAAAATTTTCAAAAAAAAGTTTTTTCTTAGTTTCTGTTATAAAATTTTGTAAATAAGTGATTTCTCTCCTTCACTGATGTGCACTAATTAGGCTGCAGTGATGGGCACTGATAGGCTGCACTGATGGGCACTGATGTGCACCGATGAGGAGGCACTGGTAGGTGGCACTGATGGGCATTGACAGACATCACTGATGGGCACTGAAAGGCAGCACTCATATATGGAACTGATAGGTGGCACTGACTGGCACTGATAGGCGGCACTGACTGGCACAGTTAGGCAACACTGATGGGCACTGATAGGCAGCACTGATTCGCACTGATAGGTGGCACTGACTGTCACTGATAGGCTGCACTGACTGGCACTGATAGGTGGCACTGATTGGCAGCACTGACTGGCATTGATAAGTGGCACTGAAAGGCAGCTCAGATGGTCACTGATATGTGGCATTTATGTGCACTGGTAGACACTGATATGTGGCACTGATGTGGCACTGATGGGCACTGGCAGGTGGCATTGATGGGCACTGACAGGTGGCACTGCTGGGGCTACACTGATCATTAGGACACACTGATCATCAGTGCCCTGATGATCAGTGTACATGTCCCTTCTGAGGAAAGCCTATTACTGGCTCTCCTCTCCTTACGAGCTGTCAGCATGTTAGCTCGTGAGGAGAGAAATGCCGATAACTGGCATTTCCTTATTTACATGTGATCAGCTATGATTGGATACAGCTGATCACATGACCGAGCCGACGTCTTCGGCTCTTTCTGTTGATCGGTGATCTGCTGTGTCCCAGGGACACAGCGCACCACCGATCGCAGCAATGCACGCGCGGTTAGAGTGGGAGGACATCATATGAAGTCCTCCCAGAACAAGAGAACCACCTTGCGCCTGTCATTAATTGCCTAGCTGTCATGTTGATCCAGTTGCTTCAAAAATGTGGTAGATTACAGCAAACATTTTGGAGAAAATGCCCAATCAAAATTGTTGATTTTTGTATTAGATGAATTTCTGGCCCACTGCCAGAGCCCCCACTGCTTGAAAGCTGTCCACAAAAAGTGAACCTGTGTGTTGCACAGGGAAACTCAATATGTTTCCTAAACTGCTTCCTACCCCAATTGCACATATATACCTTGATTTTGCTCCATATTACTCACTGCTGGGAGCAAGAATAAGAGGGCATGAGTAAGCATCAAGTTTTGACCCTCCCACATGTGACAACTCTCGCCTAGCAGCCAGCAACCAAGAAGTCTAAAAGATGTCCAGGTATTTTTCTTCACCTATAGGAAAAAGCCTGCACAGGCAAAGCTCGGGTTCACATTAAGCCATCCTTAAAGTGTAGCTACACTCAAATATTTAGTCTATAGCAGTCTACCAATTCTTTGATGGCTGAATGATATTTTAGTGTTTTTTTTTTTCTTTCTTTTTTGCCTTTATTATTACCAGGTGATCCAGGCCAGTAACACACTCCCTTACTTAATATGGATGGATACTCATTCTTCCACTAGGGACTAGTAGATTTAGATGGACTTTACAGACTCTATGGGGTTTATTTACTAAAGCTGGAGAGTCCAAAATCAGACTCCCTTCTGCATAGAAACCAATCAGCTTCTAACCTCAGCTTGTTCAATGAAGCTTTGGCAATGAAACCTGGAAGCTGATTGGTTTCTATGCAGAAGGGAGTCTGATTTTGGACTCTCCAGCTTTAGTAAATAAACCCCCATGTGACTTAAGCCTAGTACACATGATGAGAAAATCGGCCAAAAAATATCACTTTCGGAGCGATAGTCCGATAATCTGACCATTAGTACACAGCTTTTGAGAGCTGATCATGACAGTTCAAGTGAAAATATCCAAAGAGAAAAGCACAAAAAATATTCTCATATGATAAGAGAATGAATGATTTTCTTGTAAAGGATAAGTTCACCTTTTAACAAAAAATAGTAAATGCACATTTTTTTGCAGGTAAAAAAATGTGCATTTATTATTTTTGGTTTCTGGAGCCTCTAAAGCATTGCACCAGCAATCAGCAGGTCACTGGGGCTCTGTAGGTTTCAGCCTGACCTGTCAGTATATCTGCTTGCTCATACATTCCATACGGGCCAGCAGATACTGACAGGAAGGCTCAATGAACTACTACAGTTCACTGAAAACCACAATCTGACAGCCTCAAAGGCTGGCAGGACTTGTAGTTTTCCCATTCACAGAATACCCATTCACAGAAAAAGTGTGACAGCTAGCTGGCAGGAGAAGATCCCCTGCTAACTGTCACAACAGGGATTGGGGGGGTGCGAGGGCTGGTCCAATTGTAACATGTTACATCCTGAATATGGGTGTAACATGTAACATGTTAAGAAAGGTGAACTTATCCTTTAATCAGTACATTATTTGCCTGTACAAAATCGAGTGACGAAGACTGTGCATGCTTGGAAATGAAGGAATACATTCCAATACAATACATCACTTCCAAAGTTGTATTCTGTCTTAGGAGAATTTTCGTAACTTTAGTAACCTATTATTTATTTATTATTTATTTCAGGTACTTATCAAGTGCTGTCAATTTACACAGCACTTTTCATGTATATTGTACATTCACATCAGTCCCTAACCCTCAAGGGGTGTACAATCTAAGGTCCCTAACTCACATTCATACATACCCATACTAGGGCCAATTTAGACAGGATCCAATTAACTTAGCAGCATTTCTTTGGAGTGTAGGAGGAAACCGGAGTACCTGGAGGAAACCCACACAGGTACAGGGAGAACATGCAAACTCCAGGCAGGTGGTGCCGTGGTTGGGATTCGAACCAATGACCCTAATACTATCAGGTGGAAGTGCTAACCATTTAGCCACTTAGCCACTTCATTTCTGATATTAGACTAGCATGCAAAATAAAAAAGCGGACGATCATTCATCCAATATTCTTGTTGTGTGCACAGGGCTTTTTAAAACTTTTTTAAGCAGCTATAGCAAATGTTTGATCATTGTAAGCACCCCAGTCAAATTTTTTTCCTCAACCCTATAATTTCCACTTTGTCTGGACATTTTGGTCTGTTAAATGAAAGTGAAAAATAACAGACTTTCTGGAGGAATCAACAGGTGAAAAAATAGCCTAAAAAAGAAAATCCACCACATATCAGGATTGGCTGCAATATATTACATTTTTGTTTTTGGGTTTAGATACATTTTAAGTTTTTGTCTGCCATCAGTCTAGTGGTCAACAGCAAGGTAAATCTAAAGTGCATTCTTGCATCTGAATCCAACCTCTGGTTAAGACAAGGTATTAATTAGACTTTATGTTATAGTGGAGCCATTGCTTACTGCTGGTAACACCTGTAATGCAGTTGTGAAAATCATCTTCTAAAAATAAATACATAAATATAGATATTTAACTAGTCTGGTAATTATGTATACATCTCTCAGCTTATTATAATACTGTATGATGCCTATTATAATAATGTAGAGTAAATTGTTTCAAATATGTTTTAAAGTCTTGACAGATACTTTACAAATACTTCATTTTTCACACTGTCTTTCAGCTTCAGACTACTATGACTGAACCAATGACACTGTCAAAGTCCATCTCACTTCCTCGGAGTGCCTACTGGCATCATATCACCAGACAAAACAGTGTTGGTGAAATCTACAGTTTACAAGGCAAGTGACTTAAAAATAAAACATTGCACCTTTTAGTTAGCTTCATGCTGTGCACAACTTATTAAGATTGCTTTTTATCTTTGAGTTTGTTGTGTTCCTTTCATTTCAATTGATCAGCTGTCATGATCCTCAGTGGGGACTATGATTTTTCAAATTGGCATGTTTTGTTGTCATTTTAGCAACTAATAGCAAATCACTGTGTAGACTGCAAAGGCAATTTAGACATGACTTTTTGAACTTTGCAATGTAAATTGCAGCCATCAAAAGTTCAGTGTACACCATGGTTTATGCTATGCTCCCTGATGGGCTCCTTAGATGTTACAAAATAGGATATTCATATTTGCATAAATCATACAAATATGACAATACCTTAACACAGTACTTCCTTTTAAAATAACTGCTTCTGATGCTGTGCTACTAATTTATCACTAGGGTAAGAGCTTTAGTACATTGTTCCATAATGTTTATGCTGGTTACATAGCAATGTTCTCTGATTAAATGGCTCTATCTCACAGCTTCGTTTTGAAGAATGCAAATGTACAGTACTTTCTAATAGCTGCATTAAAATTTTTTATTCTACTATATTGTGATGTTTATAGGAATGTAGCATCTGCTGGAAATAATATGGACGTATTAGTATATTCTCTCACACTGTTACCTATGATAGTATAAAAGAATATGTTCATGAAACCCATAACCTATTTTCTTTCCTCCATATCTCTCTTTAACTTTAATAGGAATGAACTGCAATAATATACAATCCTTAGAGTTGTATGTAGATTCCATTAATGGGTCAACCCAATTAGCAAGTATACATGTTAATAAAACTAGGATACTAAACAAAATACTTCTGCAACAGCATTTTACATATGTGCTACTGTCAGACCATGGTAACCAATTTCTGTAAAATGCAGTGGTTTGTTGGCTGTCTAAAATGTCAATTTGTATTATGCTCTTGGGGTATAAAAAGAATCCTTGGGCTTAATAAATCAGCCCATGTGGTATCATTCATATTGCTTCTATGCCACCTCCAGCACTCAGCACCATTAATGCTAGCCTGGGTTTGGTTTGCAAGACCAACCTACAATATGCAAATGACCAACATAGTGCCTGAACCTCACTAAGGTGTATGGGAACTAAATCTTGTAAATTTTTTTCAAGACCTTTTTCCTTCTAATATGCTCTATAATCTTCCTTCTAACATTAGTGTTTTCTGTCCTCAAATTGATCTTACTTTACTCCTCCTCTCTATCCTACAGCTTATATATAATCACCTTCATTCCTACCCTCTCTCTATTACTGTTGCCATCACCTCCTGAAAATACTGAACCCACATGCTGACCTTTAATAATATACAGGATGTACAGTATATAGCACCAACAGTTCACACATCGCTTTACAATCGAAAGAGACAGTACAATAAAATACAAGAGGGTTAAGAGGGCCTTACTCATAAAAGCTTGCAATCTAATTGGGGTGTGAAAGGGGTACAAAAGGTAATAACTGTTGGGGATGAGTGATGGGAGAGTTAAAAGCTGTAGTGGGAAGTCAGAGAAAATGAGACATTTGATAAAGTACATTTCACAGAACACAGTGCAGTGTAAGACAAAAAGAGAAAGTTAGATAGAATGCAGAGGTGTCATAAAATTTCCGCTAGTAGGAAATAAACAAAAAAACTAAATAAATATACAAAATATACCGATATACAGTTTATGTTGCTCAAATTGTGCATAAACTCCATTAACCACACCCCTTTTGCAAGCAACACTCACCAGATTCTGTGAGGCCAGTTATATGATAGGAACGTCTCAAGTGCTTAAAAACTGACCCCAAGGGGGAGATTTACTAAAACTGATTCACTCAGAATCTGGTGCACCTGTGCATGGTAGCCAATCAGCTTCTAACTTCAGCTTGTTCAATTAAGCTTCGGCAATAAAACCTGGAAGCTGACTGGTTTTTATGCAGAACAGAACCTGATTTTGCACTCCCCAGCTTTAGTAAATAAACCCTGAAGGGTTTATGCACAATCTGAGTACCATTCGTGAAGTGGAATGATTCACAGCCAAAGAAGGATTGCT